TTGTATATTTCAAGATAGCCAGAAAAGAGAATCTTGAATATTATAACAAAGAAATGATAAATGTTTAGGTATGCTAACTATTCTGATGATAGATATACTAGCTATTCTGACTAGATCACTAAACAACATATATATGTATTGAAATAACAAATTGTACCCCATAAACACGTACAATGAACAAAAATAAAAAATTTTTAAAAATTAAATAAAATAAAAGTTTCTTTTCTTTTTACTAGAAAAAGGACATACTGAAAAAATTTATGAAACAAATGGGAAATTCTGGATATTTTATATTAAGAAATTATTGATTTTGTTAGGTGCGATGAACTGTGGTCATTTTTTTAAAGTGTTCTTTTCTTTTCCAAATGCATAATTGAAAATATTTATGGAAGAAATACAGTATCTGGGCCGGCCCAGTGGCGCACTGGATAGTGCGCCGCTTGGGAAGCGCGGTGGCGCTCCCGTCCAAGGGTTCGGATCCCACATACAGACCGGCTCCCGCTCACTGGCTGAGCGAGGCGCGGGAGCAACACCGAGGCTTGCGATCCCGTTGCCGGTCCCCGGTCCGGTACGGGGGCAACACTGAGGGTTGCGATCCGTTGCCGGACACGGAAAAAAGACAAAAAAAAAAAAAGAAATACAGTATCTGGGATTTACTTTAAAATGATCTAGTGGCCAGGGAGAAATACAGTTTGGCCATAGTTGATAACTGTTGAAGCTGAGTAAGACGTACATGACAGTTCATATTTTCTCTACCTACTTTTATAAATGCTTGAAATTCTCCATAATAAAATATTTTTTTAAAAAAATCTTAGAAGTGGGATCAGAAATAAAAGAAACTGCAAATACTCTACATCTGTAAGACAAAAACAACATTAATATACATGTTCTTAAGTAAATTTTTCTCAGTAACACCCACATGCAATCAGCATACTAGCACCATCTTCAAACAGAAAGGGTACGTAAATTGCTAAGGACTGGAAAATAACACATAGAGACCTTTCATTACCACAAAATTTTAAAACAGACATTCTACTTAAGATTATTAAGAAACCCCTTCATATTTCTGTAGTACAACTTAAACGGAAAGCCTAGAATCATTCTAATTCCAAACTTACTTTTCGATTTTTTTTTTAAATATAATGATGATATGGCAAAAATAAGTAAATAAGTGGCCCTATCAAGGACAATATACTTCAAAGCTCTCTGAAATATATATATATATATAAAATACTCACAAAAACCCTGTGAGGTTGACATTCAGACATTATTTCTAACTTACAGAAGGGCAAACTAAGACTCGGAAAATTAAACCAATTTGCCTAACATCATACAGCTACAATATAACTGCAACCAGAGTTTTCCGCCTTGAGGTCTAAGGCCTTTTCCATTCTACCACACTGCCATTCAAGATGCAGAAAGAAAAACAAAATTCTAACAAATGATTCACCTTAAGTCACAATATGAGCAGCACTTCTTGCCAATTTCTTAATGGAAAGTCCCTTATATGCTATATGCAGCATGAGTACAATCCAATCTTATGACAACAATCACATATTACACTGTATTAAATGTTTATGAAAAAGAAAACACTTTTCTAGAAAAGCTACCAGAAAACTTTCCTTAAAAAGGATTAATATACACTTTCATGCATGCATAAATAACTTTTCTGACTCTAAAGAACTTAAAAATAAGAATTATAACAAGAGTACCACATCAAAATCACTACACATACATTTAAAAATTCAAACATTTTAATTGATTCTTAAGTTCTCTTAAAAAAAATTAAAGTTTTTCAGGGTAGTTCTTAAGTGAAATTATTCCGTTTGCATGACCTAATTTAGGCACTCATTAACACTGCCATGTGTTTTATATGCATTTATTTATTTAATCTGCACAATAACTCCAATATCCAGAAATTATTGTTAGCAACTTTTACAGATAAGAAGACTGAGACTTGGAGATTTTTGGTAACTTGTTCAAGATCATGGAGCTAGTAAATGGTTCAGCTGAGACTTGAATCAGTGCAGTCTGACTCCAAATAAACAACACCTGATTTCAACTGCCAAAAAGTATTCCCTGACTACATTCCTCTTCTTGTTTCAAAGAAGATAGACTACGGCCACTAGAATAGTTACATTGGAAACTGGTTCATTCTGTCATTATATTCGCTTCTGAGAACACACTCCTTCACATTCTACCTTAGAAATTATTGTATAGGGCTGGCCAGTTAGCTCGGTGGGTTAAGCACAGTGATAACACCAAGGTCAAGGGTTCAAATCCCTATACTGGTCAGCTGACAAAAAAAAAAGGAGTTATTATATAAATTGAGGTTAAATTCTCAAGACAACCCTCAAAACTTAACTATCATTTAAAATAATATTTCAAGGAAATGGTCTATTGAATTATAACAGGACAACAGGACATCATCTTCTGTCAAACCCTCCAAAAATGTATACCAAATCCAAAAGTAACATGAAATTCCTTTCTTGTTGTCTTTCAGCATACAACTGGGAATGATTTCACATATCCTATTCCCCATCATGAGCTCCATTAGGAAATTAGATTTAAACTGTGCCAGTTCCCAGGGAAGGTAGGAACAAAGCCAGGAGGAGAAAAGGGAAGGAGAAGAAAGTAGTAACATTTGTTCATACATGTATTCAAGTCTGAAGCCCAAAAGGGTTTCTACTTATTAAAACTATTTTTTTTTTCCTTTTTGTCTTTTTTACTGACCGGTAACAGGATCGCAACCCTCGGTGTCGCGCCCGTACCAGGGACCGGCAATGGGATCACAACCCTCAGTGTTGCGCCCGCACCGCGCTCAGCCAGTGAGTGGGAACCGGTCTCCACATGGGATCCGAACCCTCGGCGGGAGCGCCCCTGCACTCCCAAGCGGCGCACTCTCCAGTGCGCCACCGGGCTGGCCCACTACTTATTAAAACTATTACTGTTATATGACAGTATGAAAAAAAGTTGTTTGACTAGGCTGGAAACCTAACTACCATATTGCACTTGCAAACAGATTTGGAACACAATACACTCATAAATTGGAAACTACCAGTATTCACTAATACTCTCTGTTATCAGCTACCCCTTCCAAATTCTCCAAAAACTAAAAGCCTAATATTTTATGAAAAGAGCTGAAGGAGTTCTGACTCCCTTTAACATGCACAAAAATAGCTTCATGTACATGAAGTACCCAAATCAGTGAAAATATACATATTAGATGCTTTAGGGTGACAATATCAAAGTTATACATCCAAAATACTTAAATATTCCTCTCTTTTTAAAGAAGGAGTTTGAGATTATGTTCAGAGCTTCAGAATTGTGGCTCTTGTTTTCTCCTTTAATTGCCAGAGATTTTTTAGATGGTTTTAATCAGTTTTTCTGGGCCAAGCCCGTGGCGCACTCGGGAGAGTGCGGCGCTGGGAGCGCAGCAGCGCTCCCGCTGCAGGTTCGTATCCTATATAGGGATCAGCAGCGCTCCCGCCGCGGGTTCGTATCCTATATAGGGATGACTGGTGCGCTCACAGCGCTCACTGGCTGAGCGCAGTGCAGCCGGTCTCAAAAAGGACAAAAAAATAATAATAATAATCAGTTTTTCTAATGGAATATACAGACATATGGTGCTTGTTGATCTGATCCATAAAAACAGAGAGACATGTACTCATACTATGATAATGAGAAACTAAATTCATTACAAGTATATGTCTGGAGTGAGATTTAGTAATAATCACCAATAGTCATAAAAATGCTCATACCTTTTGACTCAGTAATTCACCTTGTAAAAATTTATTCTAATGAATAATCAGAGATTCATTAATTTATTTAACAAAATATCAAATACTTACTTTGTGCTAAGCATTATTCTTATGAATAAGGATGTTTATTACATTATTTTATAACATCAAAAAATTGGGGGGCCGAGCCCATGGTGCACTCGGGAGAGTGCGACACTGGGAGCGCAGCAGCGCTCCCGCTGCGGGTTTGGATCCTATATAGGGATGACCGGTGCGCTCACAGCGCTCACTGGCTGAGCGCCGGTGCGGCCGTCTCAAAAAAGGACAAAAAAAAAAAAAAAATTGGGAAAAAACTAAATGTCTAATAACAGTAAAAGTTAACAAATTAAAATACATCCAATAGACAAAATATTATATTGTCACTAGAAACTATATTACCAGAAAATACTTAATAACATAAAAAAATGGTTATGATATGCTAAGCAAAAAAGAAAATCAAGATACAAAACTATGTGTAACTACATGTAACAATATATAACTATATGTATGCTCCCAAATTTGTATTTGAGATCTTATTTCCCAAGGACCTTGGTCAAGTTACTTAACCTCACTGTACTTAGGTATCTTCCTCTATGAAAAGAAGATTTTATATTTTACATGTAAAATAAAGATTTTATATTTCATATCTCAATGGCTTATTAAATGAGTTAATTGCAAAGTGCTTATAATATTCCCTCAGTACATATAAAACATTATTTGCTATTGTTATTATTACACATATAAGGGTACTTCAAAAAATTCATGGAAAAATAGAATTAAGAGATAACACAAACCCTTCCATGAACTTTTTGAAGATCCTTTGTACATATATACATATGCAAAGAAAAAAAATGGAAGAAATATATCAAAATATTATCAAAGATCCTGAATTCTAACAAAACTAATTCTGAGACAATCGGGAAACCTGAACACTGATCGCACATTATGAGGTATGGGTGTGTTTCTTAAAAAGTACTTATAGTAAAGTATTAATAAATAAAACATGATATCTAAGATTTGCTTTAAAACACTTTGGTGGGAGGCTTATATAGGGAAAAATTTTTCAAACATTTTTAATGTTATCAGAGGCAATTACCTCTGGGTAAGGGAATTATTACTAGCTTTTATTTATATTTTTCTATTTTCCAAATTTTCTAGTGATTTGAAATTATTTTTAAAGTGAGAAAAATTATTTTCAAAAAATTTAAAGAAAATCCTTACCAATACTCCATCCACAGATGAAACTTTCTCCCAAGTTAACCAAGCTCTTTCTCTGACATGATCTGGTATCTTTAATTTCTGACATAATGTAGTAAAATCAGGTTCTTCGGTTTCTTCAAACTCAAGCCTACCAAATGAAAATAATCACAAAATGGAAATACGCACAGATTTGTCAACCAAACTGATTAAGTAAACATTTGTTTCAACAGTTTGTACATAACAACACTATTCTGAAAGAAAGCATCATTAAGTACTTTAAGATCTTATTTTATCTTTGAAAAAATTACACTTAGAATTTAAACATATGTTTATATTTTTAATGGTCTTTCCAAAATAAGGATAGCACACAGTAAAAAATATTTCCTGGCATGATGAGTCAAATATACTTCAGAGCAGCAAAACAGCTTTATGAAACAAAGTAAGTACAACAGCTAAAGTTGCTTGGGAAAATGGGATGATAACAGCAAGAACAGAAAATCCCATAGATAATTTTATACAATCAACTCAATGGTAGTGACTTAGCTAAACTATAGTCTACACTTATGAATGTTTCATATAATCTCTCTACCTACTAACATTTCTTACATGATTAAGCGATGTAAAAATTTTGTATCGTTATTTCAGCATTTTCTATTTGATCTTAACCAAGACAGGCATTCAATAAATTCTTGTTGGCTAATTCCTTGTCATTCATCTAATGTCTACTTGACATCTAATACTAACAACAGTATGAGAAATAACTAGTAATATTGGAGTATTTACTATAATCCTGTACAAAGTACCTTAGATGCCTGATTTCATTGAATTCTCCCCATCAGCCCTGTTAGGTAAATGCTTTGATTATCCTTGTCTTACAGATGTCTACCAAATGAGGGAAGTTAAAGCACTCACCTGAAGTCACCACCAGTAAGAGGTAAATTAAGATATGAACCCAATAGTCTAACTCCATAATCCATGCCCTTTCCCACTGTTCTAGACTGCCAACTCCTCCTTCAAAACATAATTAACTTTTCAACAATGAAGGTGGTATGCTGTTCCTAGAGACAGTTTCCCTTCCAACTACATCACTTAGGCCAGAGATAATGCAACAGAAATAAGATCTCAACTCTTAAAGTAGAAATTGACTCTGTCACTGGAAATGCAGTTGGACTGGGCCCTGAATCCATTCCTAAGCAACTTTCTCAGCTTCAGAGTGCCAGGCAGTGGTTCCACCCTTGCTAAGTAGTTAATCTATAGAGTTCAGTTGTCCATGCTAATGAAACTCTTTGTGGGTAGGGATAATCAAGAAGAAACCATATTGTGTATGGTTTTGACCTATAGGAGAATTCTTGATAGTTCCATTATTTAAAAGTATATAAAATAATGTGTTTTTTAAAAATAATAGAAACAAAGTCCTTCTTCTCCCAGACAATAGCCAGAACTTTAATATTCCTGTATACCCTACAATAATCAAGAATGTTTCCAAAGCTGTGTGCACAACATAGAATTCTTTAGTTATTACTGCTCTTTCCAAAGGGAAACTTTCAAGTATTGAATACATCAGAATTTAATCAGAAACTAAAGTGATGATTTCTCCTGGAACATCCCCCAGACTGTTTTTTGTCTGTTTGTGTTTTTTTACTAGTGAGTATGATTTTTAATTGACCGATAATAAGACAGACCATTTAAATATATGAATATTAAACATTAAATAATAGCCTTCCACAGGCCATTTCCAAAATTCCATTTCAATATTTTACAATTTTCCCTTAATTCTGTTAGAGTCTAGCAAGTGGAAACAAATGGGTGAGGGTAAAGTAGGACTTAGTGATGGACTAGAATGGGGGAGGAAGTGATGAGGTACAGAAACGAGTCCCAGTCCCCTGCAGTGGATCTGTAGTTTCAAAGCCGAACCAGTGCTAACAATAATAATGACAATTACACACTTTCAATCTTAGCTACTTAACCATAAAGTAATACAATCAAGAAAAATAAGACGTTGCAATACAATAAATATCTCCCTGTTATGTTCTAGTGTATCCATATGGACTTGCTTAAATTTAGATTCAATTTAGTATGGAGGGGAAAAGTCCAGGTGAGCACAAGAACATCACTAATTTTGCATCAAAAACAAAACCAAAAAAGAGGGGATACCAGGATTCTTGCTGGCTCGAAGTCAAAAAAAGGCAAAATGGAAGAAATAATGAGACATGCTGAGGCCGACTAAGACGTAAGAGTTCTATCCAACGGTTAAAAAACAACAACAAAAACAAGAAAGAAAGAAAAAGTAGTTTAGAAACTTTCAAACAACTTATGCTAAATGTCTCCCGAAACTTTTGCCCATATGCCAGTTCCTCTAAAGCGTTATGATCTACCAGTCACTGCAGATGGCTTTAAGTCCCCAGGGCCCCAAAGCATTGTTCTAAGAGAACCCCAGAAAGCCCCTCAGAACCAAGTACTCTGTGGGCAATTGACACCTAGGACCCTGCGCTTCACGTCCAAGGCTTTTCTGGTTGGCCTTTCCCAGGACTGGGCTTCCAATGCAGTGCAAATACGTTCAACTGTTGCATCGCAGGAGACCAAAAGAGAAAGTCAGACGTCCACCAGCGTACTCCAGATCTCAACAGGAGAAAAACTGTCATTTTTGTATTTTCATTTAACTTTTTTGCGTTTGATGGAGGCTCGCAAGTACCCGCCGCCTCCGAGTCTCCGTCTCGCTAGAGGAAAGACTGCACCTGTCACTTCGCTCAGAGACCCGAGCCCCACCCGCCCGACACCTGTCAAGCCGGAGCCGAGACCCCTCCCAGCTCCCCTCCCGGCGCTCGCGAACCCAGAACCCTGTCACCGTCCCGCAGACGCTCCACGCGGTGGTGGGGGCAGGGAGGGACCCTCCTCCCGCCGGGAGAAGATGCTCCCCGGCGAAGATGCGCCCCCGCAGCGCCCACCCGCCCGCCGCACCCTCGGGGCGCCCTTCCCGCGTGCTGGCTGCCGCCGCGGCTGTGCCCCCTCACCTGGCCAGAGGCAGCTCCTCGGGGCCACTGTCTTGCTCCGGGTCCTCCTCAGGAGGGGGCGGCGGCGGCGGCGCCGGGGGTTCGGCGGCGGCGGCGGCTGTGGCCGCTCTTCGGGGGGTTTTGGGTGGCATGACGCCCGCCCAAAGCAGGAGCCAGCGAGCTGTGGAGGAGCGCAGGGGAGGGCGACGCGCGCGCACGTCGGGGCACGCCCCGTCCTCTCCCGACTCCCGTTACAAAAATAATTTGAACGTCCCCTGAGAAAAACCGGACGCGCCCTTCCCCGCCCGGCAACCGAGCGCCGCTTCCAACCGCGGGAAAACGTCACTTCCGCCCGCGGCGTCACGTCCGCGCGGCTCCGGGCCCGCCGGCGTCTGGGGGGGACCGGGGCGCCCGGCAGTGCACGGACTGGGGTGCGAGGTCGCGCGGGCTGGGCGGGGAGGCCCGGCCTGGGTCCAGGTGCTTTCCCGTAGGCAGCCGCGGCTGTCTGGACTTGTTTTTACCCGAAACCGTCCCCCCCAGGCCGGCGTGCCTGTACGGGGCTTTACAAAGAGTCTGGTGGGTGACACTGAGCCCCCATCTCTATCTGAGTCTGATCCGGCAGCCGCTCGGGCCCGCGGGGTCTGTCTGGCGAGTGCACCCTTGGCGGGCACGCCCCTCTCCTCCGAGGGCGGCGCCCTCCCGCCCCTCCCGCCTCCTCCCGCCCAATCCGTTAAGCGAAGTCGACCAAAATAAAAACAAACAGGCAACACCTAACAAGTGCTGAACTTCGCCAATCACTGAGAGAAACAGAGTGTAGGACAGTTACTGGCCTTTGGGGGATCACTGGGGGGCGCCGGCACGCGGGGGGGAGGGCTGTGGGTAAATGAACAGGTTATACTGTCATCAAAGGTCTCAATAGTGGTTTAAAAACAGGAAGCACCATCGAAACGTCCAAGGGAGATCTTCAGAGGAGCAGTGGCAGTTGAATAGAAGTTTGCCAGGCCCACCTAACATTTAAAGAGGGCTTACTATGTGCCAGGGACTGTGCTGGCCACCTTATTTAATTATTTTATTTAATCCTCAGAAACAGCCCTTTAAAATGGGTAGTATTCGCAGTGTAAATTGCAGATGGGAAAACAGGCTCAGAGGAGTTAATTAATTTGCCCAATAACACACAGCAGATGGGTGGCAGAGGACTTGAACCTAAGTATATTTGACTCCACTTATCCATTACATTGTGTTGGTGAAGAAAATGCCAAGAGAGAAGCAGCATGGGCATACGCACAACAACAGAAAAGAGCTTGCTGGAACTACCAGCATCAAACATTCGCTTAGAAGCTATATGTCTTCGGTCTCTTGGTATTTATTTACGTTAACAGGTTGTCTAGTTTGAGTATATGTTTTTTCTCTTTGGCAGACACTGTTGATTGCCCACTCAGAATTCCCCAACTGAGGTGCTGTGAATAAAATATAGTTGTGCCTTGATGTAAGTCCCCTCCTCCTGAAACAGCTAAACAGGGTCTGAGGCAGCCAGGACCTTTCAAGCAGGTCATGGCCTGCTGGCTTTATCCAAGCAGGTTGTACAATGAACTATCATTGACTCTGACTACAATGACGTAGGTCAGGATGTGTAAAGGTTTGGCAAGCATTGGCCTACTTAACAGCCAGTCCCATCTAACTTCAAAAACTCCCTCTTGGGGTCCAAATATTTGTCACGGGTAGGGCCCAGTCCCAGCTATGGAGAATGAATAGATTAAAGTGGTAGTATCGTTCACCTTGCACTGGATTAGTTTAGTCAAGAGCTCAGGATGCAGTTTTGACCTTTGCAGGATGAAAGTTAGTCTTCTGGGAGTCTGATAAAATGAGATACATGGATGACACAGATTTATGAGGATGTGACACTTGCAATTTCTGCAGCCATTGTAACCTGAAGCAAACCGACCTATGGAAAAGGCAGAAATGCTAAGGTTGGTGCAGTAGGAACGTCAAAGGAATTTGGGTCCTTGGTGACATAACTGAGCCTCTGATTTGACCAATCATGGAACTAACCTCATCTGAGCTGATGTTTTCAGTCATCTGCACCAGGAAGCATTATGACTGATAATCTCTCTGCTCTGAGCCCCTTCAGGATGAAGACCAAATCTTAGGCATCTTGGTAGCCTTAGTACTTAGCACTGTTGGGCACACAGTAAATGCTTGCTTGCTAAAAGTAAACTCTCTTCATATGTAGGTATGACCTGCTTTATTAAACCCAGTTCATCAACCTCTGGATTTACCACAGTAATGATACAGAGAGATTTCTTACCTTACAAAAGGATATGTATCTTTACCATGGATTGATTTAACTATGTTTCCTAGTACGTTTAAATATATATGAGTACTTTCCCTCCAGCATCAATGCTAGAGTGGAGGGGAAAAAAACAAAAGAAAATACAAGGGTACTTCAAAAAGTTAGTGGAAAAATAGAACTAAAAGATAATACATAACTTTCCATGAACTTTTTGAAGTACCCTAGTATAGTTTCCTTCCACACAACTCAGGAGCAATTGAGTCAATCAGAATCCTTGCACACACACACACCCAAAACATAGCTTTCTGTTGCACTACCAAAGAAGTATTAAAAATTATGCAGATTCTTAAAAGACGTTTCCCCTGATCTCCCCCCACCTGCATAGTAACTTTAATAAGACTGCTGTAAGATCAAAAAATATCTTCCCTGGATTTTCTATCTGGAGAAGGAACTCTCTTCAGCTTGAGACCCCTTCTGTGATACTGGAATTTTTTTTTTTTTTTTTTTTTTTTTTTATTCTCCACTGATCTAAAAAGTCTTCCTTTGAAGTGTTTTCACCCCCAAGCTACCACACTATTTCCATTTCTTTCCATTGCACATGGTTTTAAGCAATGATTGGTTCTCTCTACTTCCCAATTTCTGAACCTGTCTTTCTTCCACTACCACAACCAGCACTCTACTGAAATCTTTCAAAGGTCACTCATGTCCTAACTGTCAATTTAGTGGCTTCTTTTCAGTCTTCAACCTACTTGACCTTCCTTGCAGTTAACACAGTTAACCACTTCCTCCTTAAAAATTCCCTAGTCTTCCACAATTCCATTGTCTCTTTGTTCTTCTCCTCCCTTCTATTACTTCATAGACTCCTTCACTAGTTCTTTCTGCCAATCTCTTCAGTGCAGATGTTCCCTAGAACAATGCTACTCACAGTGTGGTCCTTGGACCAATACTAGTCTGCAAACTGCTTGTGCTTAGTCCACAAGGAAAGTATAGAAATTAAGAGTAAGTGCTTAGCCTTGTTTATAGCAATTTGACATTTCACCAATATGCAAGCATATGGTCACTGGCCATCCTTTGTTAAACAAAGTATAGAACAGTTCAGGTGTTCTCTGACTTGTGTGGTGAGTGCAGGTGGCATGGCTGTGTCCTTGTCATGCACAGTAGGACTACATTACAATGAGTGAAATTTTAAGGTTTGTCACCTCAACCCAAAAGTGAGTAAAAATTTGTGAAAATGTAAATGTTTATTTACTTTTATAACTTGTTGTTTTTACAGTCATTTTAATTTTTAATTGAGACTGATTCTTTCTGAAATTCATAGCTAAACTAGAAAAGTAAACTTTGTGTCATTTATTTTTAACCATAGATTATAGATGGTGAAACAAGCCTCACTGTCCTATTTTGTCAATAAAAGAAATGTCAGTAGTGTGTTTGTAATAGATGTAGTAAATCAAATAATGAAAAAAAAAGGAATTCCAAAGAATTAAAATCTAAGAATTTGCACTAATTTTACTCAGAAGAATAAGCCCCCATTTATTGAGTTTTAGAGCCATAATTCATCAGGAAATGCTAAAATCATGTACTGACTAATGAAGCAATAAAGCCATCAAATTTAGGTGACATTTGACAAAAAAATAAACTCATTATGAATTTGATAAAACATTTTGAGTATTTATTTTCCATCAGAATAAGCTCTATACACAAAAAATTTATAGATCCATAATCCATTTCTTTCACTGAAAAATATTTAAATGTAACTATAACTTTATGCGACAATTTGGGGGACTGGCTACTGATGAACTGAACATAAATTTTGAAAGTAAAGCACTACTTCCTTCACTACGGATAAAAGTTAAAAGTGACTATCTTGAGCTTGTTGAAATTGCTTTCAATTTCTTCTTCCATTCCCTTTAACATACCTTTGAGAGACTGGCTTGTCTACTACTAGTGTTATTAAAATAAAATATAAAAACAGTTTAGATACACATTATCTCCTGCAAGTAGCATGTTACCAATCCAACTTAGATTAGATAAATTAACAAGCAAGGAACACACTCATTTGTCACATTAAAACTTTAAATACTGATATTCCTGCTGTTTGTGTAGTTGTGTTTAGTATGAAACATTTTAATAATATTAAATTGCTACTTACTCCCTACTTTTTGTTAGCAGAATGACAAAAATTAATAGTGTAATAGCAATTCTCTATATTAATTATGTATATGGACACTTTCAATAAACAGTATGCATCTTTATAATTTTTTTCTTTCATCCCACATTGTTTGTTTTGATTATATTTATTGAAATGTAATTTTATTTCTGTTTAATCTAAAAAATTGTGAATTTGTATTAGGTGTGCCTCTTTTGTTTTTGTTTTATTTTCAATTTGTTGTTATTTTACATTCCAAAAGTATCAGTTCATGACAAATGGGAAATTCAAAGTAATGAAAAGTTCTTTCATGGACAGTATGGGAAACACTGACTTTCAAAGGGCTTTAATTCTCCTCTCTTGTTCTATTTCAATCCCATGATTTAAACCACCTCCCATATGTGTGTGCTTCTTACATTCTTTCAAGTTTCAAGGAACAGGAACCTGCTCAGTTTATCTGAATTATTCAGATAAATTTAGGAGGGAAAAGTGAATAAAACAAAAAAAAGTCCCTGCAGCTACACTAATGTATCTTGTCATCCCCCGCCAACAGGCTCCCCTCCTTCCCTCCTTTGTGAATATTATTATTCTTCATCTCTTTATACCACTTCTCCGGCTACACTAGCCTCTCCATGCCACTGATTCACATTCCTCAGCAGAAAGAATATAGCTGATTCTTCTACTAAACTGTAATTTCCATGAGCAGGATCGGTTACATAATTTGCAGGGCTCAGAGAAAAA